ACATTTAACAAATTATTGATATGTTCACTAGAACATGGTTGATAATAAGCAATGTGATACTCACTATTGAATTAGACCATGTGATATAGATAATGTTCAAGCATCAACTCCCTGTACCATACACTCTACAACAAAAACGTGTAGTCGAACGAAAAAATTGCATCAGAATGAACACTGCAAGAAGCTCACTTGAGCATGCAAGTCCCAACGATTTTTTAGGGTGAGGCAATACGACATGCGATTTGTAACAACCCTAAATTTTCTACTTAATCTAAGGTCGCTACTATATACATATCATGACCATTAAATGCGGCAATATTTCATTTAAATTTCTTCCTAACATAAATTTTATCTTAAAACACTGTCATTGACTTACGTGCTCAAAAACTTCTTTAAAATGACATAACAATAAATTAAATGAAGTAAACAAACATTTAAATTAAAATAACATCATATTTTAGCCTAAGTCAAAGAAAATAAATGCGACTACCCTATGCATGTGTAATGGTCTTGAGTTGCGATGTTGTCGTCAGCCGTACAGGGATGCCTTGTCTTTACCTGAAATAGAAGTAGCACGTGGCTTGAGTATTTTAAGAAATACTCAGTAAGTGATCCCACTATTGAGGTTAAATGCAAACATAGACAATTTCATGAATGAGACCTATCATAACAATCTATTTTCCTAGGCGGCTATCCTAACGGGCAATTGGGATGTGTACTTAATTTCCTACACACGGTCCACACGTGCGAGTATGGACCCACCAGTAGGTTCGCACACTTCCTTGGCCCCCTTTTTGGTCGGGTGAGCATTCATTGGGAGCTGTTGATGTTGGACACCCGTTAGGATAGCGACCGTCCTGACAACATTATGATAAACATAATGAACGTTCCCCTGCCTAGTAGTGAAATAGGAGTATCCCCCAATGCATGAACACACAATAGTGCATAAGATCCCAACATTTTTCCATTTTCATTATTATTTAATGCAACCCTACTAGCGTCTTCTTTCATATCATATCTTTCATGCGTATGCCAGAGTTGTATTTTATGTTAGTACGTTGTTTTGCATGTCATTCACATCATATCAATCACATTTATATACATGTCATATCCTAATGTTTCCATATTTTCAGACATAATAATTTTCATCATGTACATATTATACCATGACATATCGTAAACATATCATTATATCACATATATCATACCATAACATATATCGTATCATTTTCATATCATATCACAACATATATATATATATACAACATATATATATACATACATACATAATATATATATATATATATATATATATATATATATATAGATAGATAGATAGATAGATAGATAGATAGATATACTCGTATTCACATATCATAATCATATGATTTCGTAAATACTTCGTAGTCATATCGTTTCCTAAACTTGTCAGAGCCTTATCGTTCTTATACATCTCATAGTCATATTGTTTCATGAACGTACCTTAGTCATATCGTTTCTCAAACGTATCCTAACCATATCATTTCATGAATGTATCCTAACCATATCGTTTCATGAACGTATCCTACTCATATCGTTTTATGAACGTATCGTAGTCATACTATTACAGGAACATATTCTAACTTTATCGTTCTATCAATATATCATAATCCTATCTTTTTTTATCCATAACCTAACCATATTGTTTTATCAATCTATCATGACCATACCGTTTCCTATACATAACCTAACTATATCGCTTTATCAATTTATCATAACCATATCGCTTTCTATACATAACCTAACTATATCGTTGTATCAATCATATCTTAGTCATATCGTTACATTACGTTTATCGCATGCTTCTCGTATCCTATCGTACACATATCATTGAACACATCATAACGTAAGAGTTATTATATCATTCACATATCATAACATATACATATCATATCATAGTCATTGATTCATAAATAATTCACACATTTCAAATATATATGACAAGTGCGGGACCACGGGGCATGTGTCAACATCAAATATAATCATACCAATAGTAAAGTCACTTACTTGGTTGGCTTAGGTCGAAGCTATACGACCCTTTGATGCTAGCTTAACGCTGCTCTCTAGAATTTAATTCTACTTAGGAGTCCCAACATCATAAATTAGAATTCTACTCTCAGAATTGGCTCACCTAGTTTTGGGTCAAATAATTTAAACTAGTTAAGCCTAATTATGCCTAAGTACTTTGAATTTGACTCCAAAAATTTAAACTAACTAAGCCTAATTATGCATAAATACTTTAAGCTTGACTCCACAAATTTAAGGTTAATTATGCATAAATACTTTAGACTTTACTCCAAAAATTTAAACTAGCTAAAAGATAGTCGTACCAACTTTAAATGCTTCCAAAATTGAAACTAAGTGGAAAGAGTCCGAGCGTATTAGACTAAAGTCGGATCAGCAAAAATGGTGGCCTTGAGCCGTCAGAAAGTGTACTCTCTGACTGGCTCGAACTGTTCAATTGAGATAATAAAATGAAGTGGGGGACCTCCCTTTTGTTGTACCGCCCCCCTGTGGGACAAAGTTTCCTTTTTATTTTTTGCTATTACACGATTTTTTTTCTAAATCGTTTATTGACAAAGCCACTGGACACTTGCACCCCCTACGAAGCATGGTTCAACAAGACACCTCACTTCGAGTACCTAAGAGTCTATGGTTGTACAGTACATGTTAAGACTGCAAAGCAATATATGAAAAAGATTGACGATTGAAGCCAAAAGATGGTGTACTTTGGCGTAAAGGATGAGACCAAGACACACAGGCTATATGATCCGCAACATAAGAAAATTTATGCAAGTAGAGATGTCGTATTCGAAGAAGAGAAAAAGTGGGATTGGTACAGCATTGGTGATAACAAGCAGATTGTCACAGAGATCACTGCCCTAGAAGAAGAAGGAGACGCAACAGACCTAGGAAGTGCATTGACGGTGGCACCAACAAATCCACATATATCATCACCGGTGACACAAAAAGGCATGATGAATTCTCTGGAACAATGGAACAAGAGAGTCAAGTGAGAGCATAGAAAGATCCACAACAGAGGATGGACCAAAGAAGTTTCATTCTCTTGCTGAAATTTATTCAGATACACTTGAGGAAGAATTGAATACCGACGAGTAAGTGTTTCTCGCGGTCGAGGAGCCGACAGCCTACTGTGAGGCAGCAACTGAGACAATGTGGCAGGAGGCCATGCAAAAAGAGCTTGAAGCCATTGAACAAAAAAACAAAAAGACGTGGGTACTAACTAACTTACCGCCCAAACACAAACTCATCGGTTTGAAGTGAGTGCTTAAGTTGAAAAAGAATAGTGAAGGAAATTTTATCAAGCATAAAGCAAGACTAGTGGCAAAGGGATACGTGCAAAGACAAGGAGTTGATTTTGAAGAGGTTTTCGCACATGTGGCTAGACTGGACACTATAAGGTTGATTCTTGCCCTTATAACTCAATATGGGTGGGAGGTCCATCACTTGGACGTTAAATCAACATTCCTAAATGGTGACCTCCAAGAAGAAGTGAATATTGCCCAACCTGAAGGGTTCATCATCAAAATTGAAGAGCACAAAGTGTACAGGTTAACAAAGGTCTTTTACGATTTACGGCAAGCACCGAGGGCGTGGAACATATGTCTGGACAAGAGCTTAAAGAGTCTAAATTTCATGAAGTGCTCGCAAGAACAAGCAGTTACAAGAAATAGTGGGGCTAAAACACTCATAGTTGGTGTGTACGTTGATGACCAGATCTTCATTGGTACCAGTGTGGAAGGCATCAAAGAGTTCAAGCTGCAAGTAGTGAAAGAATTTGAAAAGATTGACTCGGGCTTCTCACATACTACCTCGGCAGTGGATCAAAGGAAAGTTTACGTCATGCTGAAGTAATCAGCCTATGCTAAGAAGTTGTTGTAGCAATTTAAAATGGTAGAGTGCAACCCGATCAAGTATCCCATGGAAGAGAAGTTACAACCCGATAAAGATGTTGAAGAAAGCTTGGTGAATTCCACTTAGTATAGGCACGTCATTGGAAGTCTGAGGTACATGAAATATCCCACTATGATGCATCATCAAGCAGTTAAGCACATTCTCCATATGTGAAGGAGACCACAAACTACGAGCTAAAGTATCAAAGAGGGCGAGGTTCTGAAGTACTAGTCAGTTTTACTGATAGTAATTTAGCTGGAGACATTGACGATAAAAAAGCACCGCAAAAATTATGTTTTATCTCAATGAAAATTTGATCTCTCAGCAATCTCAGAAGCAGCAAACAATGGCACTATCTTCCTGTGAGGTCGAGTTCATGGCAGCAACTACGGCATCATATCAAGCATTGTGGCTGAGATTGCTGAACGAAATGATTAGAAATGAACTAAAGCTGGTAGCTCTCTACGTCGACAAGAATTGGTGATTGCACTGATGAAAAATCTGGTATTTCATGGACGCAGCAAATACATTGACACTCGCTTCCACTTCATCCGTGAGTGTGTCGAGAACAGACAAATCATTGTGAAGTTTGTATGCACTAGAGAGAAACATGTGAATATTCTAACGGAAGTCCTAACAAGGGTTAAGTTTGTAGAGATGTCAGAGTTGTTGGGATTGAAGAATAAAAAACAAAGTCAAGTTAGATTGTGAGCTAGTGAACTTGATTCAGTAGAACCAGGAGAAATTTTAGAAAACTAGGAGAAATTTTAGAAAACTAGCCATCGTAAATGCTCATTAAATGTATACTCTTCTCACAACAACAAAAAAGAATTGAAAAGTATAAGTGATTCACTAGTTTGTTTCAGACCTATTTCGACCGTGGACTACATCCAATAGTGGAAGGTACTAGAAAATGGTCACTCGATATCGTGTGACGTGGCTGTGAATGCTGTGGGCCCACCTTTGTCTCCAATAGCCCCCAAACTCTTTTCCCTGTCTTCCACCCCATCCTCCGAGAATCTCTTTAAATTCTCTTCCATTTCACTTCCTCTTCCCTCATCCTCTGTTTTCCCCTCTCTCTCTCCTCTGTTTTTCCCTTTCTCTCTCTTCAAAATATCAAACCCATTTTTCTCTCCAATTCAATCCAATCCCACAACACCCACTTCAAATCATCTCCCAATTATCACCCCCCATCTCAAAAACAACAAAATCCCCTGTTTTTACCCATGTCAGCTGCCGTCGCCGCCGCCGCTGCCGCCGCCCTCAGACGCCGGAGCTCCTCCAACTCCACCGCCTCCGATGGTTTATACACTCAATATTACCCCTCTCTCTCTCTGCCAAAGATGCCTCTCCGACAGCCGCCATTGTTCAGCCGATACGAGACCCAGAAACGGAAGGACTGGAACAACTTCCGGCAGTACTTCAGAACCCACTTCCCGAAATTAAGCCTCGCTCGCTGCAGCGGAGAGAATGTCGTGGAATTCCTCAGCTACATCGACGGATTCGGCCAAACAAAAATCCACGCCGCCACCTGCAGCAACTCCGGCCACCGCTACCCAGCAGATATCTGCTGCGATTGCCCCACCCGGCAGCCGTGGACCAGCCTCAACGCACTCATCGGCCGCCTCAAAGTCGCCTTCGTGGAAAACGGCGGAAATCCGGTGACCAACCCGTTTAACGCCGTCGACGTCAAAGCTTACCTCATCGATCTCAAGGACTCTCAAAGCTAACCATGAAAGCTTTTACACATAATTTTTTCATGGCCCAGACTGGTTCGCTAATCTAAGAGAGAGGGGGCAGATAGCAAAAAAGAAAAAAGAAAAAAATGCAAATATCTATAAATGTAGGCCCCTATGAGCAAATAATTAATTATAATTATGCAAATCTAAGGGTTGTTTAGAACCTTAAATTTATTTGTTTTGTTTTAATTTAAAAATAAATAAATAAATCTAATGGGACTGAAAATCACTTTTATTTCATTTATGTAATAAAAATCATAATTATGAATTTATTTTATATTTATTAACAAAAAAAAATTATAATATATAATTGAAAAAAATTAAGATGAAAATTGTGAAAATAATTATCACTTTTAATTTGATTATGGGATAAATATCATAAGAATATAGATCAACATATAAACTATATATTAAAAAAAAAAAAAAATTTTGTCATGAAATTTCAAATAAATTAATTTACTTTGATTTTCCCACTAAATTCAACGTGACATAATTTAGACTTAGTGACCAAAAATAAGATTATTAATTAAAATAATATATATATATATATATATATATAATTGGCCACATGTCCAATCAAAATCAAGAGTACTCTATAGTACACACAAATAATTTGAGAAAAAATAATAAAAAAAATAAAAAAATCTATCCAAAAGAGGAATGGAAATTATAGAGTGCTTTAAATAATTAATAATAATTGAACAAAAATTGAATTAAATATAAATAGGAAATATTGTATTAAAAAATAATTGGTGGGAAAAGAAAAGGCTAACTTTATTTTTAATTTTTTAATTTTTTAATTTTTTGGGGACACTTTTTAAGATGACCTAACTTTGCTTTTGTTATATTAAATATTATATAAAGATAAGGAGTTGTGGAAATAATTAGGTCTTGCATCATCCTTTTGTCTTCTTGCAAAATTTTCCATTTTTGCAATCATAATTTTCATTTTCGTACTTTATTTCATTTCTTCTTTTGGAATTTTATGATTAATAATTTTATATCCTAACATTAATTATCATATAATTTTTAGCTCGAGTTTGTGATCGTGCTATAGTATGAACTATTATGTCTCGACTCTTGCAATATTAGATGTATCGATGGTAATTTGTTGGAAATTTCATTAGTTTTCAACCTTACAGATTATAGGGTTTAATGTCTAGGTGTGAATCTTGTGAACTTAATTTAAAGAATTTTACGTCGTTACTAGAGGTGTTCAAAAATTTTGATGACCCGAAAATTTTCAGTTAACCTAATCGATATGATTTCGGTTGAGTTACGTCGTTACTAGGGGTGTTTAAAAAATTTGATGACTTGAAAAAGTCCAGTCAACTCAATCGATATGATTTGGGTTGAGTTACGTTGTTATTACGGGGTGTTCAAAAAATTTGATGACTTGAATAAGTCAAGTCAGCCCAATCAAGGGTGTTCAAAAAATTTGGTGACCTAGAAAAAGTCTAGTAAACCCAATTGGTATGATTTGGGTTGAGTTACATCATTAATAGGGGTGTTCAAAAAATTTGATGACCCGAAAAAGTCAAGTCACCTCAATCTATATCATCTGGGTTGAGTTACGTCGTTACTAGGGGTGTTCAAAAAATTTGATGATCTAAAAAAGTTCAGTCGACCAAATTGGTATGATTTGGGTTGAGTTACGTCGTTACTATAGGTGTTCAAAAAATTTGATGACTCGAAAAAAGTCCAATCAACTCTATCGATATGATTTGGGTTGAGTTATGAACTTATTTTAGCTGAGTTAGATTTAAATAAATAAAAATTTTATGGACGATTGAATCAAATAGAAATTTATTGTTAATTTTAAAAAATATATTTTGCTTAGCAATTATATATACATATATTTATTTTTGGGTCGTAATTATTTTTTTTTTTTTTATTACAGACAACTTTTTGAATTTTTTAAAATATGAAAATAAATAAATAGATATTTTAGAAACATTTATTTTACTTTTTATTAAAAAAAATAAAAACTTGAATATTCAACACAAACAAATCGAATTAATCCAACAAAAAAAATTTATAGTTTGGTTGGGTTGTTTAAATTTAAGTTACATCTGAAAAATATCCTGATCCTAATCAATTCAATCCACAAACACTTCTAATATTTTGACTTTTTTTTAATATAACAATTTTGAAGATAAAAAAAAAAAAATAGATGTGTAGTTGTTCTCCAATGTTAAGAAATCCCATATTGATTTATTTACTTTTAATCGCGTGGTTGAGCGTTTGAGTTTCTAGAAAGTATAAAATTACATATTAGACGAGATAATTGAAATTAACAATCAAACAACTAATAATTAGATATAATTTAATACTTTTTTAAGGTAAGAAAACGATGTAGTTTTGATATTGATTTGATGTACACAGGGAGGTGACAGGCATGGCCTACTTAGACAAGTGATTCATGAGGGTTCACAATCAAATATAATTAATGGATCCCATACAAAATAAAATATTATATTGCAAATAAATGTGGTTGGTTGGTTTTGAATTTATACAATCGGCCGTCGGATTAGGTTATCTTATCACATTTAATGAACGGTTAGATTTTAAGTAAATTAACGTGTAACACATGAAAAAAAAATGGAAACCATCCTCCCATCCCCTAAAATCTCTATTCTTGTAAGGATTCAAAACAAAAAACAAAAAAAAAAAAAAAAATTGACCCTTTGTCGGAAAAGGTGCGAAAATTATGGTGTGTATTTTCGCGCATCCTTACCCTACACGTTTCCCCCCGATGTCAAGATTACGCCAATGACCTTCAGCTGTATCCCATAGAGTCTACCTCAAAGAAAAATAACATGATATAGAGGGAAAACAAGGGAGAAGAAGAAAAGACTATTGAGTTACCTCATGACAAACACGACACAGACAACCACCCCGTTGAGACCCTACACGTTTCCCCTCCGACATCAAGAATATGTCAATGACCTTCAGCTGTATCCCATAGAGTCTACCTCGAAGAAAAATAACATGATACAGAGGGAAAACGAGAGAGAAGAAGAAAAGACTATTGAGTTACCTCATGACAAACACGATGCAGACAACCACCCCATCAAGACCCTATACGTTTCCCCTGATGTCAAGAATACGTCAATGACCTTTAGCTGTATCTCATAGAGTCTACCTCAAAGAAAAATAACATGATATTGAGGGAAAACGGGGAGAAGAAGAAAAGACTATTGAGTTACTTCATGACGAACACGACGCAGACAACCACCCTATCGAGACTCTTGCGTAGGATAGTGTAGATAACGCCATGGAGGAAACGACTAACAAGCCAGGAAACACCATGATGCACATGAGTGATTACTTATGAACAGAATCGTAACTTTGTTGGCTAAGAGAATGTTAAGAATATTTATATATATATATATATATATATATATATATATATATATATATATATATATATATATATATATATATATATATATTTTATTATAGGCGAGATATTTGCCTTCTTTTCATATATTTGTAATTTATTTGATTATAAACAGAGAACTTTCACATCATTTCGATATGGTGGGCGGTGGTTTTAACAAATATCGTGAGTGGTCTCGCTTTTATTTGTAAATATTTTTTAGGTCAAAAATATGTTAAATATTTTATTATATATTTTTATTCAATATTATTAAATTTATTAGGATGTTTTATTAAATTTATGAGAGCACCGGCCAATAGCCGGTGAAGTTGGGGCCGTGTGGACGGTCTGTACGATCACACCACGGAAATGCAGAGGTTGAGGTATTTACGGAATTTGCCACCGACCACGAGACCCTAAAATGCGCTCCGGAGGCGCCGATCGCCGGACGAAGGTGTGAACGGTTCTGTATAATGAGGGCATGGAATATGAGGGGTCAAGTGTTGTTGGAGTTTTGCGCGGAGAATTTGGTGGGTGAAATTTGTAGAATGCTTTGTGAGACGCATATACCAGTGGAACAGCTAAGATTGATGCTGTAATCGTGTGGTGAGGTTCAAAGGAGAGGCTGCTCCGCCGCCATTCTAGAATAAACACTCCAACTGGCGACGTTCAAAGGGAAGTTCGTTTTCTCTTGCTTTTACCTTTGTGTTTTAATATTTACTTTTCATTACGAGTGTATTAGATTTATTCATGAAATTGGATTAACTTTGAGATGGTGTGATTATGGTGAATGCAAATTTTTGTATTCTTGTTGTGAAAGAAGGGATTTCCCTCAATTCTGCGGTTTCTTTATTTACTTTCTACAAGTTTTTACTGATTCAATATATATATATATATATATATAACTATTTGACAAGCATGTGGAATTACCATTTTTGGGTGGTCATGTGGAGGAGAGTAGCATAGATTTAATTTGCCACTTTGTTCATTTTTTTTTTTTTATGGTAGAATAGTTATTTAAATGAGTGAACCTAATGATAAACCAATTACCACCATATTGGGAGGATCGACTGGCGTTTGCAGCTATACTGCGGTCTGTGCCTCTAAAGATGCTAGTGTCTCTCTCCACCAAGTGCACTGCGCAAATAGTCTAGGAGGGGATCAAATCCGGTCGGGATGGTGTGTAGTGAGTGCGGGAATCCAACATCGAGCAGCTGCGGAAGGAGCTCTCAGAGATTCTCTTTAAGGACGCGGGGAATCAGTCGATGATTTTTCAATGCGGATCACAGGGCTCACCAACAGCATCACCACTCTCAGTGGGAAAATCAGAGAAGAATGTCGCTTCAGCGGTCAACAAGCAAGGTCTTCTTCTCCTCACTGAAGAGGAATGGCTTGCACACCTAAAGCTCCGCGACAACTCCGGCGAGCTTGAAGGGCGTGGCACCATCCTGTTCGTCGGCAAGGGAGGCGAGCATCGCAAGCTGACCGACGTCTATCATCCTGAGGCTCAAGGCTAACCTTGTGAGCCTGGGTCAACTCGATGAGATCGGATGCTTCATCTCCATCGAGCGCGGGCTACTCAAAATCTGCGATGATCGACGACGGCTGCTCACGCAAGTTCGGCGCACGGCAAACCGCCTTTACATCCTAGAGTTGAAGATAGAGCAACTAGTCAGCCTCTTGATCAAGACCAAAGAAGTAGCTTGG